CGGTGCCGCCCCCCGCCGGCCGCCAGGCGGCGCTGCCCGCGGCCCGGCCCGCCCGGCCCGGCTCCTCCCGGCCGCCATGGCCGCGCCCGCCGCGGGGACCGAGCTGCCCGTGCCCGGTGAGTGCGGCCGCTCCTCGAAGCACCCGGGGGGAAGTGCGTCTGCCTGTGCCGGGCCCTGCCCGGCTCACCCACGCAGGTCTTCCCCGGCTCCCTCCGGCTGCGGGCCCGCGCAGGGCCGGTGCCTTGCGCCGTGTGGGAGAAACGCGTCCGCTGCCGTCAGGGCTCGGACGGGACAGCCCGGCCGGGGCGGGGGCAGGGGCAGCGCCGGGCGCTCGGGGGGACGCGGTACATTCTGAGCATTCTTGGTTACTTTGTGTCGCGGTTTGGCCCAGGGTAAGGTTCAAACGCGTGCTCGTTGCTGGGACAACGAACGCCTCCTGTGTGTCCTGTGGGATTTAATTTACCGGGTTGATGGGATTTGGTTTCCAAACCGATGGCAGCGCTGAAGCGCAGAATGGGCCAGGCTGAAGGGACCGCCGCGGGTTATGTGGTCCCACCTCCCTGCTCAAGCAGGGCCATCCCACAGCACACAGTTCACGATTGTGTCCAGACGGTTCTGGGATTTGTCCAGTGAGGGAGACTCCACACCACCCGCGGTCACTGCACAGGAAGGAATTTCTTGCTCTTGTTCAGGTGGAATTTCCCGAGCATCAGTTTCTGCCCGCTGCCTCTTGCCCTGTTGCTCAGCACCACCGAGCAGAGCCTGGCTACATCTTCTTGGCACCCATCCCCTGGGTTTAGACATTTATACACATTAGAAAGGTTCTCTGTAAGCCGTCTCTTCTCGAGGCTGAACAGGCCCAAATCCCTCAGCCGTTGCTCATAAGAGATGCTCCAGCCCCCCAGTCATCCTTGTTCCACCCCCAGACCCGCTTTGTGAGCTCTGTGTCTCACTGGTACTGAGGAGCCCAGAACCGGGCACAGTAATTGTGTCCAGTTGTGAAATGTTGTGGCTTAGTCAAATGAACGAGATACAAAAAACATTGGGAAATTTATCAGCTTTTTGTATACATTGAATGAAGAACACAAATGTTTTCATGTTAACCCTTCAGAAGGGAAAATAAATGAACCAGAGAGCTCTCTACATGCCAAAGAGGTTGCTAAGAAAGTTCAGAAGTGCATGGCTGTCCGGCTGGAGATGAAAATTTAAACCGGAGTTTTCAGATGCTGTTTATCTTGTTTGTAGTTGTAGGTGTGTCTAGGTAAAATAAGGAAAAATTCAACTATGTCTTTAAGAAGGCTTGAGTGTGTCTGCACAGAGCTTGTTGAGCAAGTGAAAGTGAAAAACACATCTAGTGAGGTAATAAGTACAATTTATACATCTGCTCCATCTGATACACAAAATAACATCTTTGGAAATAGGGGAAGCTTTTGCATTAAATAATTATTTTAAATTCAAATCAAATATACAGTTTAAGAAAGAACTTTTAGGTTTTGGAGCTGGGGTACATATTGTTGATGAGATTTTTCATTGAAAGCAAATGCACTAAGATGACTCAATGTAATTTTCAGAAACAGTCTACTGTTACTGTATGTATTTCATAACATTTGTTACATGCTAACAAAATTTACAAGGAAAATGTTTGGTTTATCTGTGGTTTTGTTTTTAAAATATCTGTTTATAGCACACTTTGACATTTTGAAATAGGACATCTAATTGAGCTTTTATATCCGAGCGACATTGCAAGGATTTTGACAAATTACTTAACTTTTAAGTTCATTTATTTTTCTATAGAATTAGTATTTTCTGTCAAACCAGATGCCTAACCAAAAGCTGAACAAATAGTTAACATTCTGTGTTTTGAAACAATGTTGCTAACACTTTTGAAAAGTGCGAAGAATTGAGAAAACCAGGCAGACTACAAAGCTAGAAGAGCTGCTTGGACTTTATTCTGGGGTGGTTTTGTTTGGATTTTTTATATCATGGTCTTATCACTGAATCACAGAATGGTTGGGCTTGGAAAAACCCTCTGAAGACCATCTGGTCCAACCTCCTTGCTAAAGCAGATTCACCCAGAGGAGGTTGCACAGGATTCTGTCCAGGCAGGTTTTGAATATCTCCAGAGATGGAGACTCCACAGCTTCTCCGGGCAGCCTTTTCCAGGGCTCTGCCACTCACACAGGAAAGAAGTTCTTCCTCCTGTTTGGGTGAAATGAGAGTTTTGCCAACTCGTGTTTTGAAGGCTGAAAGAAGAAAGAAGAGAAAGATAAGAAAATAAAATGTGTCACTGAATTGATAGAACATGTCTATTTCAAAATATGTGAAGCAAAATTTGCTTTCATTAAAATTGACATTATCTTTTTTGTATTTCAGAATCAGGTGCTGTTTTCACATTTGGGAAAAGCAAATTTGCAGAAGATATTCCTAGCAAGTTCTGGTTCAAAAATGACAAGCCTGTACTTATATCTTGTGGAGATGAACATACAGCTATTATTACAGGTCAGTATTGGAAATGGAGGATATAGAATCAGAATTGTTTAGGTTGGAAGAGACCTTTACGATTATCAAGTCCAGCTGTTAACCCAGCATTGCCAAATACCAAACCATGACCCCAAGTGCCACATCTATACATCTTTTAAATGTCTCCAGGGATGGTGACTCAGCCACTTCCCTGGGCATCCTGTTCCATGAAGAAATTTTTCCCAGCCTCTGGTGTAAACCTTCCCTGGCACAGCTGGAGGCCATTTCCTCTCATCCTTTTGCTTGTTACCTGGGAGAAAAGGCTGACCCCCACCTGGCTACAACCTCCTTTTAGGAAGTTGTAGGGTGATAAGGTCTTCTCTGAGCCCCCTTTTCTCCCACAGCTTTCCTGATAGGACTTGTGCTCCAGATCTTCTGTGGACACATTCAAGCCCCTCAAATGTCTTTCTTGTAGTGGAGCTGACCTATATGATAAAAGGTGATACTTTTGGACACCTTTGAAAGTTAGGAATCTTACTTGTATCCTGAGGTAATACTTTAATTGAAGCTGGGGAGAGGAGAGAGGGATGCTTTGTGGGAGCTGTTGGATGCCTTTGGAGTTACTGTGAGGTCGCTCAAGGTTTTCAGAGGACATGCACAAGAACTGTCTGGAGGAAGTTTGTAATATCTGAGTGTATGAAAGGATAATTTAATGAAATAATGAATATGCTTTCATAATAATGAAAGCATAATTTAGTTCAGGCTGAATGTTTCTCGTGATTCTGAGTATATGTTACATATATTGTATCATGCAAGTAACAGGAACTGCTGAACACAAGTTCACTAGAAATCTCCTTGAAACAATAAATACAACTGTGTCTCTCAAACAAAGCTTCGAATTACTGTTAACTGTCAGATGAAAATAACCTTTGAAAGAGCAACTCAATAAAGGATTTCAGAAAATCCTACAAAAATCAGAAATAAATGGAAAAAGTGTTTAAAGAAACTCCAGTGTAATACAGGGAGCAAAATGGTTTTTTCTTTTCTTTGAAATGATGGAAACAATACTCATTAAAGAATTTGTTCATTTTATTTTACATGGAAGGGACTTCTCCTCTGTGGATGGTCATGTGTGATGATTGTATTGACAATCAACTAATCAGATTATAGGACTTTGTTGTTGAAAAAAATATATTTGTATTTTCAGGACTTTTTAAATTGGGATGTAGTTATTGCTTATCAATATCCAATTGGTCATTTGTTATTAAATAATTTCCTGAGGGTTTCTTGCAATGCTCACAAGCAATATTGAAGATGCTGAATTTTAAGAAAGAGTTATTTCAGGCAAGATAAAAAAGACTAGAGATTTCATGGGCTGCAGAACACCCTGAGGTGAAATTATATGATGAATTTTTCAAGCCTAACTTCACAGAAGATAAATTATACATTAATAGTTTATTTTGAACAAAACTTGATACTTTTTCTTGGATTGTACCAATAATATTAAATTACCTGTTGCATTAAATTAATCTGGATGTAACCTGGGGCGCTGTGGCATTTTCCTTTTGCATCTTCTTTTTGCATATACTTTTATATGTCCACACCCAGTTTGAAATAACACAGATATAGTTCTGTGTTCAAACCAGTCAATTTAAATTGCCTCCCAGCATGTGCCTGGGCCAGCACTGTTAACCCCAATCAGCAACAATCCCCTAATTCCCACACCACTGTGATAGTGACCACTTAGATAAAGCTTTTGAAGAAGTCATCTTGCAGAGATTTTCATGCAGCACTATCTCTGTACAATTTCCCCTTCTCGCCATTATTTTAGTATATGCAGCTTATTTCAAAAGTGTCTCTGTAGCTTGCCTTAGCTGTTGTAGTGGGCAGGTGCATCACCGGGGTGCTTCTAGATGATCAGATCTTTATTTCCTCAAAGCTTTGCAGTCAAGGAGCTGTAGAAGCGTGAGAGAAAGACTTTGGTAGCAAAAGGTTTTCTGGGACATTGTAAATTAAAGGCAAAAGTGAGGGTAAAGCGTGGATCAACAACAAGCAAAGGTAGAGAAGCTGCAAGAGTCGTACAAAAAAAGTGAAGAAGGGAAAGAAAAAGCTCTTCTCCCTCATTTGTTCTTCACACCAGTGCATGCCCATGTGCACCTCACATTCCTGCAGTTAGATGGAATTGGATGATGTAGTGGAATCAAGCCCTTGGGAATGACCCTGAGTTGCAGTAACACCTGGAATAAATGCTCCAGAAGCGTATGCTGATAATGAGTTTACTGAGAAGGGTACAGACCTTGTGGGAAGCCAGGAGGTTCTTCAGCTGAACCTGACCTGGAAGAGATAAAAGACAAACATCATCGAGGAAAGAAAAGTATCTCAAGCAGGTGTGTGTTAATGCATGCTTCATTTTACTTTCAGTCTTTATTTGCAAGTCACAAAATGTCCCCCTTTCTTTTTTTTTTTCCCCATACCTTTAAAGAGAGAGTGGGAGCTATGTTTGTAGGGGACAGTGGGGATATGAGGTAGATTAAAATTTAGAAATATGTCAATTTTACACTTAACATGGCTCACCAGTCGTAAATAAAACAATCACCCAAATTGATGCAAATCATTCCTTAATGATGGATTTGGGCAGGAGAGACAGCTACGTCTAGCACCAAAGCTTGACTGAATACTAATGAAGAAAATGTACAAGAACTGATATTTAACATTCAAACAAAATATTCAGAACCTTTCAAATAATTCTTTCATCTAATCCAGCATCAATATTCCCATATGACTTTTATAAAAACAAGTGTAATGTAAATATAAAACACTCCATCCTTTGCCTTTCTAGGTCAGGAGTTAAGAATACAAAATTTTATTTACATGCTGCGACTGCATGTTGGAATTGAAGGGACCAGTGATAGTTACTTGCTGACTTTGAGTTGGCTTGCTGTGCTGGTTGAAGAAATGTTTTCTTCTCCAGGAAGGAAGATTAGGGTTGAAATCTTTATTGTTTTTCTGTCTACCATTGGCATTGATTAAAATGTTCAAGCAGGAATTTTTCTAAGCAGTGGCCTTCTTTAGGTCTTTAAAGCAGTCATGAGCAATATATATTCCAGTATCACTTGTAACATGTTGCATAATGGTTCTTGCCTCATGTTTGTATTTTTTGGCCCAAGAATACTGATAGTCCATTCCCTAAATCTTCTAAAACTGCAGACTTTGGAAAGCAATTAATTCATGCTCATGGGAGCTGGTATGAAGAAGTATGAATATGTATACTTTTAAGAATCTCCTTCCAATGCCCATGTATTAAACTTTCTTTCCTACAAATCTCATAAATTTAACAGCTTATTGTTTATTTGCCTTGATTAGAGCATCCTAGGCAGTTTAACCACATTTAATCAATGAGACCGATCCTGTTCACAAGGTGGAAAATGCTGATGAATGAGGACACCGTTTCTGAACTCAGTGCTCTGGAGAAAATTGAAGCCCCCAACAGAGAAAGGTAGAAGGAAAGAAAGAAGTACCAGTTGTAAAGTGGGAGTGAAAAGAGGTGCTTATGGAACCATAAGAAGATATTATACTCATAATTTGAGGTTTTGTAAGGCATTAAAAATTCAACAAAGAGACCTTGGAATCTCTCCAGGTGTTTTGTCACCAGTTTTCTTCCATTTTTTCTGCTTACCAGTAGGTCATCAGAACATGGCACAGTATTTTTTGCATCAACTGCAAGGGGAGGATGAGAAAGATTAGTACACATTTGTGTTGATGTATATGAGCAAGAAACGTACTGTGCTGGTTTTGCTTGTGTGATGCCAAATATGACTGTTCTTGTTGCTCAATAAAGTTTCTAAGAATATCATGACTTGTCTAACAAAACTGATGCCCCTCTTATTTTCCTGGGATCTATTTGACTTCTATATGAGTTTTAAATCAACTGTTAACATAATTTATTCACTAAATAGCTCAAATAAAAATAATTTTAAAAAAATAATCATGGTGCCTTGGCATTGCTACTCTGTACAAAATACTACCTTTTTTATTTTATTCAGATACAGTTTCTCAGAAGGATCTTGTAGTAAATATTCAAGGTCTGTACATTGCCTCACCATCTTATTTCTCTCCCACACTCATATAATTTAAAAAGGGGGGAAATATGTAAAACATACCTTTAAACATAGGTGATTAGTGTAATTGGCTGCCTGCTATGACAAAGCATATGGGATTTTAGCTGGTATTTCCCAGGTGCCAATGAATGCCTTTAAAAGCACTTAATGACCTAGAAGGGCACATGACTGATGGGGTTGCCAGGAAGCACAGTTGTGATAGCAGCTATCCATGAGAAATGAGGTGGGAGACAATCTCTCACTGAAGTGTCCCACAAAACCTCTGTTGCTACACATGGAAGTGTCTTGTGGCTTCCCTGGTAGCCCTGAATTGCTATTTGTGAAACGTCTGCTGCTGTACCTGCCAGTGAACACATACTTGGGAGAAATACTCTGGTTTTATATCGGGATAAAGGTGGACACTTCTGTTGGAAGTGTGTTTTCATCACCAAAGCAGTCTGAGTAGGCCTTTTCATTATATCCTGTTGTTTCCCTCCTGCCCAGAGTCACAGTCTTACTCTGCTGGACCTCTCTTGTGCCAGCCATTCCACCTGGCACATGGCCACAGTCTGGAGGACAGCACTAAAGTGGAAGCAAAAACCCAAGAGCAATTCAAGTTTATGAAATTTTGAAATTTGATCCTTGCCTATTTTTCGGCTGTTGGATTCAATGCATCTGGGTGATGGCTGAGATATCTCAGTATACAGTTATGAAAATTGTGCCTTTTTCATGTAAAATTATATTAGATTTTTTGGCCAGCTTAGACTGAATCATGTCTCTTCCAAAACTTGATTTGCTGTAGTGACTGAGAAACGTTGCTTCATTACAGGTATTTGTTTAGGTTCCTCTGTAGTGCCTATTAATTCTCATTCTCTTTCTATATTTACTGCTTTTTTGTTTTTTTTTATTTTCTGTTATACTCCTAGGATACCTGAAATTATAAAAGACTGTCACTCAGTTGTAGAAGAATGTGAAAAAATTCCTCTCATCTATTAAGCTCCTTGACTTACAAAGCAATGCCTGAGAATTTAAAGACTGATATAAAACCCAGCAGATTATAGGATGAAAAGCATGACCTTGTTTGAATTTTGCATGGATAAAAGAGAATGTGCTTAAATTGAATTAGGGCAGCTTGGCATCATACTCCCACAGAAGTACTGCTGTCTTAGGAAAGCAGTTGGAAAGTGTAAAGCAAGGATACAAGGATGCCATACCAGTATAGGATACATGTCATTTGCTGATAAAAATCCTTTCTGTTAAGGTGTGTTTGCTGTCAGGGACAGCTCTGCATGTGTTTGACATGCTTGCATTATCAAAATTAGGATGGAGATATAAATGCTGTGAGTAGAACACCATGAGCATGAACTTGGCCCGTGTCTTTCTTCCCTTCCAGCTTTCTTTGAAAGACATAATATTGACACATAGCCCCACATGCCAAGAATTGTAAAATCTAACAATTTGATCAGGATTTTAGTTACCAGTTATAGTTAAGCATTTGTGCTTTTTTTTTCTTTTTAACTATGTGGTTATATTTAAGAAAATGAATGGATATTTTTATTAGAAGATGATTTTTTGGTAATATTTAAAACATTGCAATGTCGTATTTCAAAGTCTTTGTAAATCACAAACAGAACCTTCACTGGGAACAGCCATATTATTTTGCCATTATTATATGGAATTGCTATTATGCATTGTGGTTGTAGTTATTGTAAATTATGAGGGTGACTAGCTCTATGACCAAATTAGTGTTGAGGGTGACAACATATGATGGAGTCTAATGCACAAAGCTCTGCAGACCTTCAGAAGTAAACAAAGTCCTTTTAATTCTTGTAAAAGGTTGGGGTTTTGGGGAGAGGATATTGTTCTGTTGTGGGGTTTTTTGATAAATCAGTTTCTATTGTTTTGCAAAGATTTCCATTGCAACAAGGAATTTGTTTTCCAGTGGGAACTTTACAGCTTTACAAGATGTGATAGTTTAAAAAAATGAAATTAAAATGAGTTCATTTTAAGGTATTGTCAATAGTCAATTTTAACGAATTTTCATCCCAGATGACAAAATTCTCATCTATTCATATACCATCCTCAGAAAAAGCACTGGTTGTTCAGAATTATAACAGCTCATTGTTTGCAATGGTCAAACATGCAAGTCCAATAACATATCATAGGAATTTCTGAAAGGTGATTCTAGCATTGGCCCTGTTGAGCATTTGTAACCTAATGTTTGCATTTAGGTTTGCAAAACTCTCTGACTGCATGGTGGATTTATGCATTCTGTCTTTATATACAGAATAACAAATTAATAGAGTTTGTGAAAACTTATCAGAAACTACTTTGATAGAAATGCATATTTGTAAATCATTTTAAGAGAAGACATTTAGCAGTAAAATAAATACCCCACCCTATACAATCAAATAAGCCAAATATTACAAATTTGTACTTGTATTTACCAAATAGCTGCATTATTCATTCGTGTCTTTGGGGTAAAAGATGTGGGTGCTCAGTTAGATGTGCCATTATTTTATAAGGGAGCCTATAGATACTGTGGTTTCTGAATTTTAGGGTCTGTCCAAAAGTACAACATCTTGTTTTCTGAAGAGCGCTTCATCTATGCTGTAATTAAAGATGAGAATGTTTCTTCTTCTGGCTGGGGATTTCTTACTTAAACAATGCAATTACTATTTTTGAACTGTAAAATCACAAGGATATTAATTGTTGTTTACACTTAGGTTTTGAATTGCCTAAACTTAAACTTGTCATTAAAAAGGAAGTAATAAGTTCATTGTGAGTATATGACCATCGTATCTTGAATAAGATATTAAAACATTTGTATGGATTCTGTCTGTGATTTTTTTTCAGGAAAAGGTAAACTATATATGTTTGGCAGTAATGACTGGGGCCAGTTAGGACTAGGATCAAAGAGCACTGTCAGCAAACCAACATGTGTTAAAGGTTTGTGTAATTTTCCTTCTTTCCTTTTTTTGTTTGCCTTTCTGAAAGGAGACCCTTGCAAAAAGGTACTTAGTAGGATGCAATTCCTACCAAGATCATGAAGGTAGCTCAAAGGAATCCCTTATTAATTTTCCATTACTTCAGTTTCTGAGTCCTTTTGCATCTGAGGATTACTTCAGATACATAGAATACTGTCATTTTTGAGGGCTCTAACTTTGTGTAGTATTTGCCTATTCTGACAATCCACACCTTCATTTTTTACTGCAGACAATAATCAGATGCTTGGTCTCTGCCTTGTCTATGTGTCAGAAACCATAGTTCTAACAGCTTTGTGCAACCTCTGTGTTACTATTTTCTTAGCAACTTTGTAAATGAAAAAAATGTATCAGAAACTTTTCACAAGTACCGCTACATTTTTAACAAGTATAAGAAATGCCCAAGGGGGCATAAATGTCAATACATTTTTATGAGGCAGTAAAATAAATTCCTGTATTCTTTCATGTGTAGGAAAATATGCTTTCATTGCACTGTGATCTTGATCCTTCCTAGCTGTTTTTATCTTGTCAAACAAAGCTAAGTCAATACTTTTCCCTATCCCTTTACTTATGTCAAGTCCGATCTATCCCATTAACACATTTCTTTTCACTATTAAATGTTTATCTTCACTCTTTCTGCCAGTAGATCGATCTGTTAGCTTACTGTTAAAAACAAATTATCTTGCTTGTTCAAACTCTGTTCTTCCTGATTTAGTTTATTCTGCTGTCCTTTATTTGCTCCTGCCTCCATCTCTCTTCAGATGGAGAATGCAGCTGCTCTCAGGTACACATTTTCTGTCAGCCATATGAGAGATTGATTCTTACCTTGGCTTAAATAAATTTGGTTTCAAGTTTTGAGTTTGCTGTTGAATTGCAATGGAGAATAAAAGATGAAAAGAAGATGACAGCAATTCAAACCAAACCTGGCATCCATTGAAAAAAGTCACAAGGAGAGTGTCTTTTTTCTCTTGCCAGTAGACAGCAGGAGCAATTCCTGGAGCTTTTCTCACTAGCCCTTGGTCACCCCTTGGCTTTGGGAATGGGGTTGCAAGGACACTTTTCTGTTTCTGCTTAGAGCCAAATGCTTGTGTCTGCATGTTTTCTGAGAAAATATTTTCTGGGACTTGGTTAGAGATTAATGAAATTGGCTATGAAAAATCACCAGCAACATTGTAAATATAGCATGTCTCGTAACATACAATTGGCTAGCCTAAGTGGGAGGAAGTTTAGGGAGCACAGGCTTCTGAAGAGCTGATTGAGATCTTCTCTGAAGTTGAAGAGTGTTGGGATATAAAGATTGTAGGAAGAAGCCACCATTGGAAATGTTATGGTTCCAGCCTGATGGCAGTGGTAGGTGTTGGATAGAAGAGGCAGGAACCTGAATTTGGACAAATTAAGTTTGTGTCTGTGTGACAGACCAAGGGAAGTTCATGCTAAAGTTGATAAATTTGTTTGGTGGCTTGGTAGAAGAGACGTTAATCTGAATGTTATAGAGCTGATGAAAGTTGATCTGGTAGGACTGAAAAAGGGTTTGTGAAAAGGATGATTGTTGTTGGCTTTGTTATGGACTAGTGCAGTGGAAAAGCAATTAAAGATTTATTATGTAGAAATAATTCTGGTTTAGAGCATTGTATAGGGTACATGGACATGATTGAGAGGAGATAATTTGTTGACAATGAACAGTAACTGGAGCAAGGATGGAAAAGTCAGTGAGACATTTTTCCTCTCTATTTCTGAAATGGAGTGCACTTGTCGTAGGAGAAGAGGAAACTCTGTATTCTCTCTTTCCTACCAAAATAACTCCTGGCTCCCCTCACATACATTCCCAGTCTTTCAAAGTGACCAGACTGCAGAGAAGTGTGTGCCATGGCACTCTCATTGGTGCTAACTCAGTTGAAATTGAGACAGAATGACACATGCAAAAAATGTAGGCACTAGTCCAGGTAGGGCTGCCCTTGGCAACTGAGGTCAGTGATCAGGAAATTATCAGAACAGAGCAGAAAAGGGAGGTGAGCACAACAAAAGGAGGTAGGGATGGTAAGAAAAGGAACAAGATGGTTTCAAAGATTTACAATAGTGGGAAAAGTCTAAGAGGGAAGTAACATGGCACTATTAATGAAAACTGAAGACAGCCTAAATAATTAATTTTATCCTGCAACTTAATATATTATTTGAGACATATCCCATAAATGGCAAATTCCAGGGACTGTGGCATTGGGATGAAGTAGCCATCATCAAACTGAGTGTTTTAAGTTTTTAAGGTTTGACCTATTTTCTTATCTTGAAAGAATACTGATTTGGTAAGTCATGTGCTAGATTCATTTGGGTAACGAATCTTGTAATAATTTTGTTGGTAAAAATGTGAAAAGAAGATATCAGAGCTCCCTCTAGAGCACAGAAAATTTTGTTGCTATCAGCTTGTTTGTAACTTTCCCTCCTCTTTGGTTTTAATTCTTAGCTTTAAAACCAGAAAAACCAAAACTTGCTGTTTGTGGAAGAAACCACACTTTAGTTTACACAGGTATGTAACCTCTATTTCATACATATTCAGGATACATTTCTTCCTTTACTTTCATGCAGAAGTGTTGAAGAAGGGAAAAAAAGTTAAATGGGTCTTCTAAAACTTAGGGGTTTAACATCCAGTCCTTAGAATTCAGAATTTTTTAGAATTTTTTAATTTGAGCAAATGCAGTTATAAACTAATGTTAGATAGCAGTTTCCTAGTAATAGACATATGGAGAAATTTCTTGCTGACATTTGAGGTGTGGTAAACAATTATGAATATTTCCTTTAAGCCGTATAAGGATATATTGTTATTTTTATATTCATTTGTACTCAAATTTACCTTTGACAAATAATCTTTATTAATGTGAAATTATATATTTGAATAAGTATAATAGAACAATGTTTTCAGGTCTTCAAATTTTGTTGCATTTTTGGTTATACAACATAGTCTGCTATTTCAATGACAAGTTGCTTTATTAAGCTATAAATAAATAAACTGTAGATTTAAACTTAAAAATAAATTTGTAGGGATATAGTGTACAGAGAATTTATGAAGGTTCTTGTCATACTTCTATAATTTATGCAATGGAATAGTGATGTTTGTGGTTGCAATCCTTTAGCTTTCAGTAATGTTGTAAGGAGGATTGCTTGATTATTAGGAGGTTTATATATGTGGAGACCCTGAACACTGTAAATAAGATTGTTAGACTAAAACAACATATTAATAACAATCAAGTATGCAAGACTGCACAGGGTAAATATTAGTCACCTTTGGTGTACATGCTGGCTAGATAATTTGTGGCCATTTATAAATTATATGTCAGTTTATTTATCACATTTCTGTTTAGGCTTGTGTTAGTAATAGGCTGTATCTGTTTCTTCATAGATGAACACTTTAGATGTGAAGCATACTAAAATTAAAAATATAAATCTTGAAGTTCTCTAAAGTTGAAGATATCTATCATCAGTGTTAAATTCAAGATTCTAAAAAAAATCTGGTTAATTAAATCAGAAGATATTTAAATATTAAAATAAGTAAAATATTTCTAATAAAAAACTAAGTAGAAATATATTTCATTCACAGTACTCAAAACTATCAAGTTATTAATTTCTTTAATTTACATACTGATACAGCTTCAGTTTTTCTCGTATGTGACATCATCCACCCTTTTCCTCCTGCTATATCTCGATATATACATTATCTGTGGAAGGAGCTGCTGCTGGCTACCAGGGCTACTGGTAGTCATTTTCTCAGAGCTCTTGCAGAATTTCCAATCACATTAATTTTTACATCAGTCTCCTGAATAGTGGGAAATGCAGTCTAAATACATCTAAGGCCTTTAGGAAGTTCTTCTCCAAGTGTGTGCAGGAAAACCTTGCTAGCTACAACAGAAACTGCTAATTTTGGCTTGGGGGTGTTTCAGTACAATAGACCCTAACATTTATGTGATTTTTTTCCATTGAAAATTACATTACTTGCTCTGTTTTCTTCTTTCTGTTTATTACCTGTGCTTTTCTGTGTGCAGAAAAAGGAAATGTCTATGCTGCTGGAGGTAACAGTGAAGGCCAGTTGGGATTAGGTGACACAGAGGAAAGGACCACATTTCATTTAATTAGTTTTTTTACCAACCAGCACAAGATCAAGCAACTATCAGCTGGATCATACACCTCAGCAGCAGTAACTGGTGAGAGCAATTGCTAATAAAATCTATTGATGTGTGTCCAACCTGGTTCCAGGAAGACATTTAATCCAGCATTCTGTCTGCATATGTGGGTGCATTTTCTGTCCTCCATTCTTCTTTCCTTGGTAGCCACAGTGGATTTTGAAAGCCAATTGCCTTTTTTAACAGTTTGGTAAGGGGTGTGTGCCTCATTAACTTCTCAGAGGTTTTGTGAAAGTTTAGTAAAAATACTTACAGAGGAGGAACAGTATGAATACCCTCAAAATGAAAAAAAAATCTTCAGTTTATTTCCGGTGAAAGCAGCTAAAAACATGAATCCTATGAAAACTAAGCATCTCTAATTCCACCTGTTATTGCATCTACTGTGGTCCATTGGTACAGACTGCACAGTCGTGTCATTCCTTGCTAATTCTGGGAGAGGCTGAGTCTCTCACCTGTTTCTCAGCTGGCAGAATTATACCTATCATACATCACCACATGCTGAAATCCACACAGTTGCAATACTTCCAGTGACTGGATGGGTGGTCCTTTATTACCCTATAATGCAATTTTCCAAGTCTTGCTGTGAAGCCGTTTTTTCTGTACCTGTTTATGGTACATTATTGAGGCTGTAATTTCAGAACTTGGGAGAGATTCTAGCCTGCTTGTTTGGTTTTTGATATTTTTTATGCCACTTACTGACTTTCTCCTGAGATTTTTAGATTTTTAGGACAATTTTGAATTACTTTAGCTCCTAACACCACCTCAGTAGCACTGTAGGTGATACATTTTTATTCAAAACTTATTTCCCAGTAATAGGAAATACACATAGAGAAGACCTTATCTCTTCTAGAAGAATCTAGAGACTTTTCGTGTTGTTCGCTGCCCTTTTTTGGTTCCTGGTTTTTTTTGTTGTTGTTTTTTGGGGTTTGTTTGTTTGTTTGTTTGGTGTTTGTTTTGTTTTGTTTTTGTTTTTTACTGCTATCTTTGGTCTTTGTTTTAATAGAAGGTGGTCTTAATAAAACTGGCACATCTACTAGTTTAAGGAAAGCAAAATGAATCAATATAGCCACCTGTGAGGAGAACTGAAAGATAAGGCATGAATAAGTGGGATACTTACCAGAGTCAGAACAGAGAATAAGTTTGGAAAAATGAGAAAGGGGTGACTTGTACCTAGAAATGAGAAGATGCCTTAAATTCACTGTAATATTTTCGTACTGACCTCTGGCAATTGAATGGTCTCACTCAGTCTTCCTCTCTCTGAAGGAATATTTTTTACATGGTACTTTTTCTGTTGGTATTTATGGCCTAACACTGGTTGGTGTGTAAGTGTTCTGGGTCACTTTTGAAAAACTTAAGGAAAACCCTCTTATTTCCAACTCCTTTTTTGCATTGTGTTAAATGATCATTTTATATCCTTGAGATCATGACATTCAGTGGTATCATATACAGAGTTTCTGAAATACTCTTCAATAAATAGATTGGGTTTTTTAGTTTTTGTTTTAAATCTCTTAACTATCTGTGTCTTCATTTTAGAGGATGGGCACCTCTTTGTGTGGGGTGATAATTCAGAAGGTCAGATTGGCCTGGCCAGTGAAGCCTCTATCAGTGTCCCCTGTAAAGTGGATATTGGAAAACCTATTTCCTTTGTATCCTGTGGATATTATCATTCTGCCTTGATTACAGGTAAGAGAAGGGGAATAGAGGTTAGTGGAGACAAGACAGTGCTTTTCAAATAGTTCTTTGAGACTTGATACCCTATAGTTGTTAAAAACTGCCATGTGACAGAGGGCCTCCTATGTAGTTTTGTATCACACAGAGAAAAAAACTTGCAGTTAATTTTCTGCATTAGCACATTGCTGTGTGAAAGTATATTAGAAAGAATGAAATATCTGATCACAGTTTGTTTCCATAGAGGTTATCACATATATTGTGGATTAAAACCATGGTTTCAAAAATCCAACCGTTTTTGAGGTAATTTTTCTTATGATCAAATAATAAACTTCATCTTCTCTAGAAGTATCAATATTGAACCTAGTTGCTATGTTATGAGGACAAATTAATCTTGTTAGAAGTAAAAGATTGTTGTCCAAGTTTGTTGTTCAGTTTTAAAATTTAAGTTTTGAAGTCAGTTAAACTGGCAGTACGTGATACAAGGAGAAGCAATGCTACAGTGAGCTGTTATCTGATTTCCAAACCAAACCACCTCCCTGCTGCTTTCCACCTCTCTTACCAAGTCTCCATTGGTTTCTAAAGTGAAGATTCCACTCATCTTTTAATAATGCCACTATGGATGAATTATCAGCCAGTATTGATGGTATTATGTATGAGCATCTATGAATTCCTCTCAGCCATATAGATTTACATTATTAAACTTTACTGTTTGGTCCCCTAAGAGTAATTAAAGATTTCAAAGGATCGATAGTTTTGATTGTAAAGCTTTTAATGGGTACCCAGGAGCTCTTCCATCAGATACCTTCCCCAGATTACTTGATAAATGTTATTTTTCCACATACAATATCTATATTGCTCTCTGAGAACAGGCTGTTAACAGAATGAGTGCTTGCTACAGAGGACAAATATTAATTAGGTGGTGTGCTGGTAGTGTGCAACTTTTATTACAAATGCTTTATTACAGTAAATGGATTAAGTGTCTGGGGCTGATCAGGAGCTCAGCACCTCTTAGGAAAAATACAGCTTCCTGGATTCAGAATAAATGGGAGGAGGGGGGAAAAAGATACTTGCTTCAAGGATGTAGTAGTAATGCGTGTATCTCTGCCTTCGAGCCAAGAGCTGAAGGTCCTGGAGTGCAGCAGGATGTCACAAAAGTTCTCATTAGTAGAAGGGCTGAAGAAAAATATCTAAGAGTAAAGAGAAAACAGTGTGTGCCAAGTGCCCTGAGGAAGTGGAAACTTTTAATGGAAAGGGATAAGAAAAAATGGCTTAGGCTTGTACCTGGTTAAGAAAAATGGAGCTTCGTAAAATATTGATAGGAAGAATGAACTGGCTATCACCTGTGAAAATGAGGAGTTGTTGAACCTGATACTACTTAAACAGGCCTGATTATGTGATGGAAAATCTTAATTTTCAGCCTTAATATCTGCAAGTCCTGTGTGAATTAGGTTCAGTCTATGTCACTGAAGCTACTGACACACACATGGCCTTCTTTGTGGTGAAAGCATAAATTTTAAAATTAATTTCCTTTGGCCCCTTGCCAACAGTTTGTTTGACTGATACTTCAACTACTGTAAACATTTAGTATTGGACATCCAAGTACTTTTGCAGAATTGATTTTCTGTTGCACTACTGTCAGTGTGTTTAAAAATTAACTTTATGCATTTATTCTGAGTATACCACAGTCGCAGGATGTGTTGCTTATCAGTTATTAGAATTCTACAGAATTACCACATTTTGATTTTTAGACATCAAACAATACACAACCTTTCATAGTGCAACGTACTTGCAGGATTTAAGACTCGGTAAATGCTGTGAGACTGAACTGATGAGCATGGCACCATATGGTTCCCTTTCTTAATATGTTTATATTTAACATACGGTTAACTGGCTGGAAAACATGTTGGGGACACAGGCATATCTGGGTTAAAACGAAAAGGTGGCGTGTACTAGAAAATATAGTGTGGACACAGAGTGCCCTCTCCAGGGCAGGATGTTCATTAATAAGAGAGTATTGAATAAAAAAGTGGTGAAGTATGGATTCCAGCTTTTTTTTTTTTTCTTTTTAAACTGAAGTTCTTATTTCTTTGACATTGCTGGGTTTTAGAAGATTTTTTTAGCAAGCTTTTATCTTTAAGGTGTTTAACCGCTATAAAGCCAAAAGCAATGCCTCTTGTAGTTCCAAAAAGATGATGTCACCCTTCTTTCTTCTGCTTTCTAGAAGGTCTTCTTTGCAGACAATAATTTAACTGCTGAACATGTGTCACCTGCATTCTGCCATGTACACCTGGATTCCACTGATGCCAAAGAGGTTGTAGAATAGAAGAACAGAATAAATCCAAATAAATAATAAATATTTTAAATAAAAGACCCCACTTCTGAAATTTAAACTAGGCACATGTACAGACAATGGCTAACTCAATTCCATGTGCAAATTAGGAACTAGTCTGATTACTCAGTTCATATATGAAAGATGATTGTTTGCTCTTTCCCTTTCCTTTGCATTTGACAAAGAGTTCCACTGAAAGGCAGTTCTTAATCTGTAGCTTCCAGCTCCCTTTAGGATTTTTTCACAGTGTGTTCCCCTTCCTCCCTTTTTGCTGGCTTTGGACATTGCATCCTAGTGTTCAGGTTATGTCTCAAGCAAATCAACACAGAAATACACAGCTGGGAGAATGTAGCAACAATTTTGAGCACTTATACAGATCTTTACTTGCCATTCCTTTGACCACACACTCAGGAGGGGACAATTTTTCAGGAAGCATTAAGCTTGGAAAGCATGTACAGCTCATTTTTCCACTGCAGGAGATGGAGAGCAGGAAAAGCTGATGTATCTCACCACTGCTCTGGGTTCTAGAGCTGAATTAGATTTGTGGAAACAGAAAGGAATTGAATATATTAGACCCCTTTAGTGTTTCCCCTGCCTGAACTGTAACTGTAATCAAGACAGATTCTTATTGAGAAGATGTCTTTTCATAGATAGCTTTGCAAGTTCCTTGAATTCTTTTTTTAATGTATTTTGTCATTATTTTTAAGAACTGGTTTAAGAATCATTCATCCCACAAACACTTCTAAGCTCTGAATTTCAGTGTTTGAGACAGTGTTAACCAATTTGGTATTAATAAATATTTCTTTATTTTTTCTTCTTTATTTATTCAAGAAATCCTAGAGTTATCCAGTTCTTTTGTCCCTCACTTGCCACCAGCCAGGTGTCTTATCTACTCTCAAATACATACTCTCCTTTGCAGGACATTTTCCATTCATTTGTCCATTTTCTTGATTTGCTCCTGTGATTTTAAGTTTAGTGATACAGAAAATGTGCCACATTAGGCGAAGTTCAACATGTGAGTGTGACTCATATGAGAGGAGAAAATTAAATAACCAGGTTTTGTTGTGAACAGAGTGTCCTTAAAATTCAGATGTGCTGCACACAGTACATCATGTCCCCAGCATGCAGATGTACTGCACACATACTGCACTGAAAATTTATCTCGGTTTGACTGGGTTCTGTTTATGCTTGATTGCTATTTTTCATCATTTTTAGACCACTATTTGCCTAAAAGGGATGTGTAATGTATTCAAAAATTGCTTTGGTAAATGGTTTTATCTTTGTTAGCTGGATTATTAAGTGGAAAAAATGTAATAAACTTGATTAGTTTGGGAGGCTTGGCCATTTGAATCTCTAATCCTCTTAATTAGATAGTGATTGGATTAATTTTTTCAGTGCAATACTGTTTAAAAAGAACTGCTGGTCTCTTCAAAGAGAACTGCATAAGTAGTTATCTCCTAAGTGCTTTTGGGGTTTTTAAACTTGTTTTTAGAAATATATGGCTGATTTAAGAGTATTGGGAAAATACATACCTTCCAAAAAATACAGGATTCTTTTTATTGTGTGGTTTTTGTTTTCTTTTTCCATTTAGAATGCTTAATAAAATCTCTTTTTGTCAGTAGAATTTTGGTTACAGAAAACCTCACACTGCAGTTGATTTTTATCTTTTTAATTGGGCTACTGTTTTAGAACAGAAAATTGATGCTGATGCAAATAACAGCAAAGTATCAGTCTGTTCAGAGTATTTCTGAACATAGATATAAGAACAAAATCAGAATTAAAACAGGAAATCAAACTAAGCAGAGAAGCCTAAACATGGTCCATAGGTTTGAAATTAAATGAAATTTAACTTTTTTGCAGCTGAGGTAAGTTGCTGGTTCTTAAGAAACTCAGACTGATTGAAATGACTGCAAAAAACTCATAGAAAAGAGATATAGAAGAATGTAAAAAAGCCTGGAGAAGATGAGGCTGAGGGGGGATCTCATCCCTGTCAGTGTCTGCAGGGAGGGGCCAGAGCACGGACCAGGCTCTACTCCCTGCTCCCAGCAATGGGACAGCAGGAACAGGCAGGAACTGATGGCCAGGAAGTTCCACCTGAACATGAGGAAGAATTTCTTTCCTGTGCAGTGACCAAGAACTGGGACAGCATCCAGAGAGGAGTTTCCATCAGTGGAGATATTCCAGAAATGTCTGGACACAATCCCGTGCCATGTGCTCTGGGATGACTCTGCTTGATTTTCCATCAAAATTCCACACAAAATTATTTTCTGTTTCAGTTCAGATTCTTATGAGCAACTTCAGTTGACTTAAATACTGATTACAGAGGCAATTACCACCTCTCAGAAGCAGGATGTACATGGTTTTGTTTTTCCCGTGGCTATATTCCTTGCAGGCTAAATACTGTGATTATGAATTTGCAGTGTGTGCTGGAAACCATGCTCTGTTCTGTATTTTCACAGGTGATGGTGAGCTCTATACTTTTGGAGAATCTGTGAATGGGAAACTGGGACTATTCCCTGAACAGCTGAAGAACAATAGAGTCCCACAGCCTGTACTGGGAATTATGGAAAAGGTTAAAAAGGTTGCCTGTGGTGGAGAACACACTGTGGTGCTGACAGGTATGCAATTTAACTGGCTTTTCTTACAGCCCTGTAATTTAAACTCCATTCTAAATAATTTACATCCCAATGAAATGCTGGATGCTGATCCTAACTGGAAGACCATTGTACACCAAGGAGGTAGAAATCCATGGACCACCCAGCTAATGCAGGCCTGTGCTGCACTGCCCATGTCCCTTGGCTACAGGATGAACTTGGCCAGGTGATTTTAACAGAGGGATTTCCAGGCAGCTCCTGGTTGACACCCCTTACCTGTCCTTGCTTTTATCTGAAACTTCAGCAGCAAGTTCCCATGTGAATGTCCTTTTTATTCAGGGTAAAATTCTGAATTTATCAGTATAAATAATGTATAGAGTTGTTTTGAATGTAAGAAAATCCTGTAAGAGCTCAAACTGAGGTAGCCTTCCTTGAATAGGATTTGCACAGCATGCTGGGGTCCTTTTCAATTCCACACAGCTCAGGATTCCCAGCCTCTGAAGGGACAGAAGGTTATTGATCCTGTCTTCTTTTTCTTTATAGTCTTAGCTCCAATAAATAGCATTTTAAGAGAATTTTACATAGGCTGAGTGCCTTTCTTACTGGAATTGTAATAAACCTGCACCACCTGGTGCAACACAGATGATTGATATTTCTTTCCTCTAAGGAGCTTGAAATTGTTATTGCAGTGAGAGGGAAATTCTAGAGGAAGGCTTCCATTCTGTAATAATTTTAAATGCTCTTGAATATTTAGGAAGGTATATAGGAAGTCACTTTTCAAGTAGCTTCACTATCTACTGCATGCCTGAATGGATTAAATATCTCTTATTGTGATACAGAATTTGCTTGTGCCTTTGAACAGAATCTTTAGCATAAATATGAAACTAGTACAGACATATACATTTGACATATTGTACAGGTTATGAAAATGTCAGCAAATATAACTGTTACATATCAGTTGACAGGGCCACACATATCATACTTGGCAAATGCTGTGTGTCACTGGACTGTTAAATAGTTGTCTGCCAGTGCTGACTTAGCTTTTCCAAGGCATACATGCAAAGCAGTGCCAGCCATTTCTTTCCACAAATTCTATCCTCACCTAGAGTGGTGTAGAAGCAGGAAAATTTTGACTTTACCTGAAGATAGTTCGAAAAATATCAGCTTTACCTTGTAATGAATATAATTTGTGTAAAACTGTTTAGCCCATAATTTTTTTCTGCAAAAAGGAAAAAGCTGTAAAACCAAGCTGGATGTATAGATATCAGTCCTTAAATCTGTATTTGAAGGTGCTCTATAGTTGTCTCTTGCCTTCAAGATTATGTAGCCAAATTTTCTAAAATATAAACTGAAAATGTGACTGAGGGAGATTGTGACTATTATGGTGTGGTGTTGTGCTGCAAGCCATTGGAAAGAGTAAAGGTGGAAGTGAAATGCTGGGAAAGATCTTGTGTAGTGAGTCAAACTGCAAGATTCTGGATAGGTTAAAATTCCTTTGGGAAAACTATGAAGAGGAAATAGCAGTAGCCAATCCAGGAAATAATGTAAGCATTTGTCTACATTTCAATGCCTTTGTCTCCCTTCTTCCACCCACATACAGTCTTACCCTGGCAGTATTCTATGTCACAAAAGAATTTTTTTTATGTGAAATCAGATTATCATTATTAGTGAAAAAACTGCCATAAATTTGGGACCAACATGTGTAAATCATAGCATTATTTTATGAGTTACAAGGTGAAGTTTTTGTAGAAAGAACTTGATTATCATCATTGATTATTTTTTTTAACCATAAATCTGAATTCAGCCAATAGATATTTTGACTTAATGGTGTTTCATGTAATAAAAAATCATTATAACCAATGACCATTACAGAGATTTGGAAGAAAGATACAGACCTGGATGCCATCATCATTACAGTGAAATCTGTACAAGAGCTAGAACAAAGAGGGGAATATAAATGTCATAGAAAAAAATGCATTGAAGAAAATACCATAATAAGTATGCATGTATGTAAGATTTACTTGCTTATGGAAATAAATTCTTTAGTAGAAGGTAAATAAAAAATTTAGTGCTGCCTGAGCTGGCAGCTGATGATCAAAGTGTTGAGTACCAGATGACCTACTTGAATCACAAAAAGAGGAAAACTATATCTCCCATCAAAAATACATTTCCTAAAGATTAATAGTTGTGATAAGAGTGAAAAGTCAGATAGATTTTTTTAAAATGTGATTCAGCTGTTATTAAATAGATAACAGATGTGAACTTCTGGCTAAGACCCTTTGAGTGAAAGAGAGGAGGATAGTGGAAATACTGTCTCAAATGAAAGATACTTAGTCAGTAGTGTTGACATAGAGAAAATTTTCTGACTCAAAGCAAAATTTGAGGGAAAAGTTGTGAAAAGAGGTAGATATGGGTACTAAAAATTTGAAGTGAGTGTGATATACATACATAAATTACTTTGCACTAGAAACTTCACTTGAAATTAGTCCTAAATTGCATTTTGAGAGGAAGTGGTGTGACCAGAAATTCTGATGATATATCTTTAAAGAGGAGCAGAAGCATTTACATTTAATTTACGTGAAAATTAGCTTTTAAGGTCATTTTTATAAATTAAGAAAGTAATGCAATTTTGAAGAAACTCTGAATTTCAAATGTCATCCTCCATGAAAATGGGTGCTGCTTGCCTTTAGTAACACAATGTAACTGATGAGGATTACATCCTTTCAGGATCTTTCCAGATTTTAAGGATGTGACGTTTCAGTTTCAGGAAACAAGAATAAAGTATGTGACAATTAAATATTCCCCTGCTTCATCTATCTCATTTAACATAGCAAAAACACAAGAGAAAATGTCATATGTCATAACAGCAGAAAACTCTTACAGATCTTGGCTCATTTCTTGACATCATTTCTACTTAGAGTTTATCAAATTAGAAGAAAGCATAATTCAGTTATCTGACAGAGTACAAGGCAAGTTTCTTCCTGCCTCTCATGTGTAATTAGTCTATTCCAAAGTACTTCATTTGATTTCTTTTTTATGACTGTTATCTATTCTATTGGCAATTTCGTATGGTAAGAACCACTGTTATATGGGTTATAAAATCAAGGTGCTGTTTGGAATCTCTACAAAAAGTATCAGAGTAAAAGGTAGAAAGTATATATTAAAATAACTCCTTAGGATTTTTTGCTCCAAAATTCCAAAATTAGAAACTCAGTTATTTTTCCCAGAGAGCAAGAATTAAATTGTTGAGAGCAATAATTTTGGAAAAAAAAATTTTTTTTTAAGATTGATTTTAGAAATGTTGAGTGTGGTATTGAAAACCATCTTCTTGTTAACTCTGCCTTTAATATTTGCAATTGTTCTAGACAATAAACAGAATTGCATTTAAAAATTCTATCATGCAAAATCTTGATAGCACAAAGTTATTAATTTAATGGCTGTCAGTCAGCTGGTCCAAGAAGATCCTGTCCTCATCCCAGATTCATTCTCTCAGAGACTGAAAAAATGCACCAACTATCCCCAATGCTTGCAGGTGTTTCTGCTGCAAATGGAAGCTGTTTGGTATCATCATTTTCAAATGAAATATGGGAGAGCAGCAATCCCAATTTGCATACTTTTTTCAATAAAGTATTTTAAAAGAAAAATAATAAATTTGAATCTAGAAATTGAAGAAGAAGAAACAGATTATTTGGAGTGATCTTAATATCTTGCAGTTTTTTTCAGATGAGGACAGATCCTCTGGGAATAATTTTTTCTATAGTAGGATAAATTACTTCCTTTCATTTTCTGGAAGGAAGGGAAGCAAAGATAACTCTTCAAAGGAAAAAGTGAAGCAGACCTTTGAGAATAGAACATTTGACATAAGAACATTAGTGCATTAGTATGTAAAATGTTGGATTTTTCATCTTCTGTCTCAAGGTCTTTTAAAAAGAAAAGAAAGCCAAGACACTCTTTTCAAAGAGGACAAAAAGGATGTAAAAGCTCTACCTTTTCCTGGCAGAACTCACGATTCAGACCATATAGGATTATTAGATTTTTCAAACCATTCTTGAATCTGTATACTATTTATACTGAAATCCCCAAATCCAGTTACTAACTCTGATAATACTGAACATTGTGTTGACAGTTGATTTTTTACAGTAACATTTTTCAGCATAAGCTGTTTAAAAATAAAGCTATTTGTGAGAGTGAATAGTTCATTGGCATAATAGTTATAGTAGTAGTAGTAATAATAATAATAATGATAATGTTCAAGGGAAAGTAATTTATGTGGACAGGCCATTAGGATGGTTAGAGGGATGCAGCACCTCCCCTGTGAGGAAAGGCTGAGAGAATTGGGCTTGTTGTGCCTGGAAAAGAGAAGGTTCTGGGCTGATCTCATGGCAGCCTTCCTGTACCTGAACAAACCTGACAAGAAATGATGGAGAGGGACTATTTACAAGAGCCTGGAGTGATAGGACAAGGGGGAATGGCTTCCAACTGACAGAGAGTAGGTCTAGATTGGATATTAGAAGAAATTCTTTTCTGTGAGGGTGGCACAGGTTGCCCAGAGAAGCTGTGTTCAAGGCCAGGCTGGATGGGACTCTGAGCAATCTGGGATAGTGAAAAGTATCCCTGCCATAGCTAGAGCTTGGAACCAGGTGATCTTTAAGGTCTCTTCCAACCCAAACCATTCTGTATTTCTATGATATAAGCTTACCTGTCTGCTTCCTTTTTAGTTCTGTGGACTTTTTAACTTCATCTGTAACTTTCGATAAATAGCAGGGAATACCTGATTCTGAAAAACATTCTTTGAGCTCGTGCAGTTCTGTCAGCAAATGGGATGTTCTAAAAAATAATATGAAAGCTATGTAGCTTTTTGCCTAGGACTGTTTTATTGATAGTGCAAATGGTCACAGAGATTACGAAAGATCCCTGCAAAGATGGAAGACAACACAGTTACAGGCAAATATCCCTGTTCTTTCAAAAAGGGAAATAAGAAGTAAAGAAGCAGCTCTTTCAGCAATCAAGTGCTGGAGGTCACTTGGAACAGCAAAGCCATTGTCTTCTGTGCAAGCTCTGAAACCATTTCTCTTCATCCTTCGAGGGCCCTCTCGTGGGCTGCTGCTGTGTTCAGAACGATGGAATGGACCCCTGTCATTTTATCAATGTGTGTGAGGTTGTTTTTTCATACACTTCTCTTTCCATACATTTATAAAGACAGACTGGAGGAAATTCCTCATTTTTACTAAAGGAGGTTATTAGTGAGGTTTGACCACACTTCTTTACCAGAGTGGTGAATCATTTAAGAAAGGTACAAGGTTTTTTCTACCTCTATCCTGATAATTCACTAAGAAGAGAATTTAGGAGGAGCAACATTTAGGTGCCCTTAGTCTACAAGGGCAGTAGAAGAAAATATTCATCATATAAAGGCACTCTAACCTGTCTTGGGATTGGTCTTTTTCCTAATTTTCAGTAGAAACAGAGAAAAGATTCCCTGAACTTTTAAAGTTAACATTTGAGAACATCTTTCTCTCAACAAAAATGCAGAAGATGTTGCATGTTTCATGTTAGGATTAAAGAAAAAAACCTTGTACTTCACTCAAAAATTACTATGTTCATCAGATAAAGCCATGTAGTTACAAGACCTGCCGTTTGCAAAGAATTGTTAAAACAAATGCAGTTCTTCTAAACAGAATTTTTGGAATCAACGATCCTGAGAAAGCCATTTACTAAAATAAAGATGAGACTTTTGTTTGCTTAGAGAAAGCTCCTGTCTTTCAGGTGTAGTTTCTTGATTCTTATGCAGGAAGTCTAAATATTACAGGAGAATTCTTACTACTTCTTTTACTTTATAAAGCTCCTGGAAAGGTTTTACTTTCTTGCACTAAAATTTCCAGCAGATGGAGCTTTACTATCACATTTAGTAACAAAAACAGGTTTACTCAATATTTTTCATCTATAATATTAAAAAAAAGTAAAACCATTGGGCTTTTTTGTAATGGTGTGAATTCATGACATCTTAGTATGGAACAATACATAAGGAACAGGAAGGAAAAGACTTTCCTAGAAATAACATTTCCATATGAAGTGTTACTATTTAATCACAGTTCCTTTGAAACTGGAAAGCTCTTTTAACTTAACATGGAATAATATTTATTAATTCATAATCTTTCCCGTTTTTTCATAATAATTTTTTAAGTGCTTTAAGTAGAATTTCTCTCACTTTTCCTTTGTTGCCTAGATGCAAAAGAAAAAGGGGCAGGAATTTAAATTCTAGGAAAACAACTCCTTTTTTCCCATAAAACTTCTCTGTTCAAGCATGACTTCATCAAGATTTCCAAGCTTCACAATCTTCCCCTGTTGTGATGGTGTGCCAGGGATGGACACACCAAGAATCTTTATTGCTTTGGAGAAGCTCTTATTCTTTTTCCTGGCACAGACAGTCCATTAAAGAGACAAAATATAAATGTGGAAAGATGATTATTCTGTCACAAGATAACACAATTATAGTGTTCTCTGTATTTATTGCAGGGCTGATTTGGTAGCTGAACAGAATACTGAAACCTATTCTATTACTGTTCTAGTCTCTTCTTACATACAAATTATGAGCTCTTGTCTATTATATTTAGGGTCATACAATGTTCATGGAGCTAATGAGAAATTAAGACGAGGCTATTGTGAAAATGCATATATATGTATAAATATTGTAAATTCCCATACATTTTTTTTAAGTTTCTGTACATATGATCAGTGGATTATTTTGCATTTATATTAGAAAATATATGGCATATTGAACCATTTAAAATTCTTTTTTGTGTATACTTTAGTGCTTCAGTTCCTGTTTTTTTATTTTGTTGTATATTAATAATTGGTAAGTGCAATTGATTAGTTGGCACATTTTTAATCGATAATAACATAGTTATTATAAATAAACAAACCAACAAACATAAATAAATAAATATATGTATCAGCATATTTGTTGTTAACTTTGCCTATACAATTTCAGAGAAAGCTGTTTACACTTTTGGACTTGGACAATATGGGCAGCTGGGACATGGAACTTTTGTGTTTGAAAGCTCAGTACCGAAGCCTGTGAAACACTTGAAGAGGCATAAAATATGTAACATTGCATGTGGGGAAAATCACACTGCTGTGATAGCAGGTATGGGAGTGCAAAATTCTGGAACCACTTCTAGAACTCTCTATTATACTGTGAAAGCTTTCCTTGCACAATGAGCAGTAGCAGACATATCCATGACTGGTTCCAAAGGTGAAATGAACCAGTGAAAAAGGTGACTTCAATAGGAATTTCTGACTCACAGCCATGCCATGAATAACTGTATCTCCTGGGGAATTATAACCTCCTACTCACGCCTTCCCAACAAATATTCTTGTTTAGTAGCCTTTGTTTTTCTGTACAGTTTAAATCTTATTATTTTGTTGGAGTGTCTTTTTTTTACAAATTATCTAGACCAACATCTCAGACAATACTTTGTCTGAAAAAAATGCATATTTTTGAATAATATTCATCTGTTGAAGATCTAAAAATAATTGTTCAGGTTTTGCTTTTGGAAGGGAAATATTCCTTATTTTCACAGCCTGTTACTTTGTTTGTAGTGGTTCTGTCCTGGTTTTGTATTGAATTTTTGTTTCAACATCCTTTTTATTCCCACATGCAGAGAATGGCCTCATGTTTACTTTTGGAGATGGACGACATGGCAAGTTAGGATTTGGAGAAGAAAGTTTTACAAATCTGTTTGATCCCACTCTGTGTTACAATTTCTTGAAGTTCACAGTCCTTTTGGTAAGACTTTTCTTCATTCTTTTCAGACACCAACATATTTATCTTTTTATGAAGCACATTATTAATGAGAGCTGAAATTATTTCTTTCTATAACATTTAAATAGTGGACAACACAAACTGAAGGAAAGAGGAAATTATATTTGCTTAGCACAGTGTTCATTTAGTTTAGAATATCTTTGACTTGGGCTGCACATAGAGGTTGCTCTTTAGGGTTTTATTCAGTACTCTAGTCCCACGGTGTTTTGGTCTTCAGAGCTGTGGTAGCTTATAAACTGAATTATTCCTTGCTCTTGGATGGGTGGAAGTATTGGGAAATCTGTATCTTTTCTGTGAACACCAGAGAGTAATGTTTTCAATTTTGGCAATTTTTGTACAGTAGCATGTCTTTAAATCTTAAGAAAATTTGAGGTGTTAGGTTTTTTAATCCAAGCTGGACAAGAAACCAGGACTATTCTTTTCTGTTGAGAACTATATAAGGGAAGTCTTTTCATCTGCCTCTTGAGGTACAGAAGAAATAAATGTCACAGAACTGTCAGCATGAAAAGTGCTAACATGACTCAGGATTGAACAAAATTTGGGATAAAAGTCTATTGACCACTTCTGTTTGTTTACTGGAATTACAGATGAAGGAAGTTTTTTTGGAAGCAGTGAGTGTTTTAAACCTTTTAAAAAGTGAAACCTCCAATCTTTATGTAATAATATTGTGTCTACTGGAGGGTGTCAAATTCGTTTTACATTTTGCTGATTTTGTGATAAAATATTTAGATTTGAGTCACTAAAACTATCAGTATTGCTCTCATTTGACTTGTATCAAAATAATTAGCTAAAATTTCTTAAAAATCAGTGGAAATATCTTTGCTATCTTCTATATCAAAAGTTTGATAGACCTGTCTTTTGTTCTGTTCAACACAAATATACTGTATTTAATTAAGAAGAAGTGAACATAGACAACTAATCATTAATAAACATAATTAAGTACTTTTTTATTGCTGGTGTAATTAGGAACTAAATTTGAAGCCATTTGAGATGTCTTACTTTTACTACATTTTTTCTTATCATCTAAGTCCCAAGAGATAATTGTAACAAAAGTGCATCCTTGATACTTGCAAATGAAGTAATGAGTCTTTTTTTTTTGAGCTGTAGGTTGCTTGTGGTGGTTGTCACATGCTGGTTTTTGCTGCTCCAAGACCTAAAGGATCTGAAGTACTCTTGGAAGATTTATATGAGCCTCGCTTGACTGCTACTACCCCTCAAATGAGTGGGGACTTTGTACTAGCAAACACTTTGCAATTATCAGCAGCACGAATGCGACGGCGAGAGAGGGTTAGTCCAGAGATATTTAGAGCTGCCATACTTCTTTCAAGAAACAAAATCAGTTTAAAGCTAAAATCACAGCACATGCCAAGATGTTAAATATATCTTCTTAAAATAAGTGTTTCATTTAATGTATAATATGAAAAACAGACATTTACTCTGGTCCCAAAATTTGATGCAAGATTTAAAAAAAAAGTATTGGTCAGATTTTGCTTAATTATTTCTGTGAAAGAGATTCACATTGCGTTTGTAATTTTTTTGGTTCTAAAGTGTAGAACCTGTTCCTTTGCATTTTTAAACTTTCTTAGAAATAATTTTTTAAAAATAGCAAGAGCCTGCCTCTTTCACTGTTCCCTCTGAGTCCTTGAATATATGAAACAATTTCATGGTTTATAAAATATCAAAGGAGAATATTACATATAGCTACTTAAAATATTACTTTCTGCTCTTTTATCTCTACTACACATTCCATGTGATTTCCTTAAACAGCACGAGTTGGATCATTTAACTTACCTGAGAACTAACTCTACTAAAACCTGAATTTATTCTGTAAAAATGTGTTAATGTTGTAGATTAAGTACCTTGATGTTATTTGAGAAACTAGTTTTTCATTTTAAATTAAAAAAGAAGTTATTTTTCTCCTTTGTTTATATTTTAGGATTGCATAGAAATTATTTTTAAAATCCCACTGTGTACCTGCCCACTTTTTAGGACTATAAATAATTAAAATATTAAAGATATTTGTTTATGCTTATTAAATTGCAACCCTGTATCATCAACTAAAATGAAATACCGCTGATAAGTACAAGAGATTGCTTACATTTTGTTTTTCTACCCTTTTTCTCAATCTATTGTTTTTCAATCTTCTAAAGGAAAGGTCACCAGAGCAATTTGTTCGAATGGCACAAACTCTGCCTCCAATGGGGAAAGGCTTCTTGAAATCTTCATTGCCTGTGACAAGCAACACCAGCCCATTTTGGTTTTCTGCAACAAGTCATCCTAAAGCTGAATCTGGGAGGGATGGAGACCATGAAAAAGGTGAAGTGTCCCCACATCTCACTGCTATTTTCTGATGAGAATTGTTTGACTCTCATCATTCATAAACAAATGTGCAGTTTGAGCCTGAAAGAAGGTTCAGGTTCAGTCTTACCTCAGGAGGGTCTGGTACCATACAGGCATGAACATTGAGAAATGCAGACAAAAACTGCCTCACACTGTTCATGTTTGCAAAACAAGTTTAAAGATTAAGTGGCGGCTTGAGTGAAAGAAAAGCAATTTATAAATTGTACTTGTGGTTCCTTAAGCCTTTACAAATAAGATTTCACAAAAATACTGTGAGAACATTGAATACTTTGTTTTCATACACACACAAAAAAAGGAATTACAGAAAAAAAATAGGAACAGCCTTAAGGACATAGGTAAAGTCTACAAGGAACTTGGATAAGAAAAGATGAGGTCTACTAGTTCTTAAAGGACCTTTCTTCTTTGCTTGGAAATACAGAAGTACTCTTCACTCTTTATTATCTAAGGTCATAATGATTTATAATATTCTAGCTGATGGAAAAGTCTGGATAGACATAATACAGCACTGGACTTGGCACAGATTCTCTAGAGCAGCTCTGGACTTGTCTGGAATCCTGGGTCTGTGAGGTTTCCTAGGAAGAACAATGCTGGAGAGTGCAGAATGCAGAGCTTCTGTGTAAGAGCTTAGATTTACTGGACAGACAAATCTAATTTGAAAGTAATTAATTCATAGAATGAAGATGAATATTTTTAAATGTGCCAGCAGGTCCATTAGCATTTCTGGTTCCAGGAAAGCAATGCAGTGAAATTTGAATTTCCTTTAGAGTCTTCAGCCTAAAACCTCAGGTATTGTGCTTTAAAAAGTGGTCATAGACCTGATGAGCTTAATGATGTAGGGACATTTTTATAATGCTGCTTTTAAACTCACTGTCTCTCCACCCATTACATAGAAAATGTACAATGGAGATAACACGACAGCAGCTAATTTGGTGTAATTACCCTATTATTAAAGAGATTGACCAAAAGAATCTGTCCCAGGTAATATTTAGGCTTTGCAAGACTGCAGAAATGGTCAGAGATCTACAGTGCACTGAGACCAGATTGCAGAGCCACCTCTGTTGTTAATGATGAAAGGAGATAGAAGTGTTTCTGCTGTGTCTTGGGCTGGGGGAATGAAGATTTTGAGGGCCTCAGTTCTATGTTAGTAAAATGGGAATAATCTCTATTTTATAAGAGTGAAGTGTTCTGTTTGCTATATAGTTCTTGTTCCTATGACATTTGTTTATTTCCTCCCTATTTTACCTTGCAGAAAATAATCATCAAAAAGATAAACCTGGTGAAGTCTCTTCAGAACAAGATTCAGATAATGAAAATATTGACAGAAGCCTTGGGGATACAACTGACATCCTAAATATGGTAATATATTACAATAATGGATCTGTAATTCAGTAATTTTATTGCGGGGGAGACAAAGAAGCTAAATTGTGTTTCAGGTTCTAATACAGAATTCCTAACTAGCCCAGAATATCATATGTGACACTGAGAAGTACTGACACACTGATAAATGAGCATGCATTTTATATCATCATTACCCAATGCTAAAATAGGTTTTAATTTTCCAAGTAATGTTTTGGTATGAGATTGAAGAAGTCCAAGTAGTGCAGTGCTTCCTCACACTTTAGCTCTGGAAACCAGAAAGAAAAGGATGCTGGAGGCCACATGGTGATTTCTATCTCTGACCTAGCTTTTCTTGATGATTTCCAACAGACAATTGCAGGAAATGAAGCAGAAGAGCATCTTTTCCTGTTTTGAGAAGAGGTTTTTTAATACAGGTGGATCATATTAAAGGGAAAGCCAAAATCCAGACATTCTGATTATTTGGTGATTCCCCAGCTTGTTCCTACATATTTCTTTTATTTAAAAAACATGTTCACCTTATCACTTGTACAACTTTCTGAACCATTTGGTTCTCTCAGCAGAAGGGACATGTCCTGGCCATAATGCAGCCACAGTAATACTGGAAGGATTGAACATCTTACAGGAATTATTATTTGTTTGCATTTAAAAGTACTTAGTAATTTAACAGTCTGTTTATGCATGCCATTTATTTAATGTTTTAAAACTTTATTTTGATTTACAATAAAAAAATGTGATCAGATCCAATGCACAGCATTATTAATTTATTGAAGCAGTATTTACAAATTGCACACTTTAGGTGCTACTCTTCCTTCTCCTTTTTGGTTTTATACCTATCATGAATCAATTCTAAAATACGTAAAAAAAATTTTTAAACATAAATTTGAAGAAAAGCCCATCAAGCAAACTTGTCAAAATACAAAATAAATGATTGCTCTTCTTGGATCTGAATGAAAACAGTCTGTTACGGCATAGTTTTTTTTTCAATTTTTCTAGACTGTGGCAGCATACATCTTAGTGAAAAGAGGAGGTAAAACCTTTAATGTCATATTGATGCTACAAATTATTGGGATACTGAAAGCAGAACTCTCCTTGCTCACTGTGTTGAAAAATAATATGGTGGTAAAAACATGAGCACTTAACAATCAGCAGCATTTGGAATTCATTTGGAATATATGGCAAGGGATGAGCAAAATTTCATTATATATTTCCACCTAGTAGTATTCCATGTTGCCTTTTGGTTTCTTGCTTTATGTGGAAGAGATAAAGGCATTAGATTCCAAGGAAAATTTCTGCTGTGTAACATTTCTTTGAAGATTCTCTTTCAAGGCCATGGTACCAAACTGGATGTTGAGTTGAAGTTTGTGATGAGAATGGGGTAAGGTTCTATTTGTAACCTCACAGTGAGTGAAGGTGAATCTCAAACATGCCTGTGCTCTAGGAAAGGTCAGGGTTCAGTCTCTACAGACAGTTCAGGTGTTGCTATCTGAGCTGGTCACCACTCTCTTTATAAACAGTAAATGATGGAGGGGGAGTGAAATAGGTGAGCTGAATGATCATACAGGTTTGTCTCACCCTGACTGGGCAATAATATTAAAATGTTAAAAACAATTCTGCTTAGTAAAACTTGGCTTTGATGCTGCTTTCTGTATTAAATATATTTATTTTTTAATAGAGATTTTATTTTTTGTAGACACATGCAATGAAGTTGAATCCTGGTGACTGGTCCTTAAAATTATCACCACTCCAAAAACAGAAGGTACTGTAACTAATTACATATCTGTATATTGACATTGATGATTAAAAAATCCGCAATTCTTTTATTGTCCTGGTACTTTGTTATTTTGCTTTGAGTTTTAAAAAGTCGGGAAGATTTTATAGACCTCCTCTTGCTAATTTTCTGAATATCCATGACCTAAAATTCTAAGAAGCTGCATAAAAGCAGAGAGAATTTGGGCAAGCATCTAGAACTCCACATATCCAGTGCAGTTTGACATGAGTGTATAATATTTCACCAGTTTAAGAATAATACTGGTCTTAATTATGAAATTAAAGTACTTATTAATACCTTCCCATTTCACTCCTAAAGTGATCCCAGCTTTTCAGCACTTTGTTGCATTTCATTAAAATTTTATTTTAGATTTTTGAAGTTATTATTTATAATTTGTTAAATAAGTGTAAAATTTAAACCAGAAAGACAATAGATTTTCAAACTTCTCAGAAAGGGCATAACAATGAGCACATCAGAAGGATGCTTCCAGAGGAGGAAAGTGTAAGAGAACTGTATTAATTTCCTTCTTGCACAGCCTCATGCATTGCCTCTGCTCTGGTTTATGGGATGTGGTACTGGCTGCACAATTCTTACTGCATTTCCTTGGGTAGTGAGAGAAAGGTGTAGCACTGCACTGATCATTAGCAGGATGTTGCATTTTTTAATATGTGCATTTGTAATTTCATTTCATGTGAAATATTCTACCTTTTATGCTGTCTTTTAATCCCTTCTCACAAATTGTTTCTTGTTCAGATGCTTTTGTAACCTTTTTCTTTCGCTGCCATTTGTCTTTAATGCTTTTTTTCTTTCTTTTTAATTTTCTGCTTCTCATGTGGAATAGAAGAACAATAAAAATGTGAAACTGAAAAGAGATGGTAAGGGTGGGCTGAAAAAAAAGGATTCTGATTTCACAAAGGAGGGCTCAAAATTAGAGTCTGGGGCTTTACAAAAGCAGTCCTCACTTTCAGAGTCACCTGGACAAGATTTAGCAAAGAGGAGTGCCTTTGTAGAGAAGCCTGTGGCCAAAAAAAATATAAAGAAAGGTAAATTTGAGCATGCACAAAGTGATACTACTTTGAAAAGTGATGCTCAAGAAATTACTGGTGGCAAAAGCATATTAGTGAAAAGGGAGAAAGAATATGTGGAAAATTGTGATTTTTTTAGAGAGGATGTAACTTCTAATCTTCCCACTGAAAATCAAATTCTGACTGAAAAAATAAATTCTTCCAATAAAAAGCCAAAAGCTGTTAGACCTAAGCAATCCCTTAAAATAGAGGTACTTCCTTCTGCTCCCAGGGCTCAGCCCCAGACTGATTCATTAACAGTACAAGAACACAGTCCTTTTAAAAACAAAGGGGGTCAAAAAACAACAGAAAGTCAAAACAAAGTAAAGGATGGCATTGAAAAATCTGACAAGTGTGAAAGAATAAGTGTCACAGGACAAGAAAGTAGTGCAGAACAGAAGGAGCTTAAAAAAAAGCACAAGTTTTTGAAACAAATATCTGTAACTTCATCATCATCTTCAACTGAGGAAAGTACTAATGATCTCCAAGAATATATACTTAAGGAAGAGGTCCACTATGAACACAGAGTTCTCCAGAGGCCAAGGAGAACAGTGACACATCTGGACTTAGAAAAAGACAGTGAGATTGAGGAGATTCAAGCTACAAACCATGAGAAAGAATGTATAGAACAGACTGATTTAAAAAGCCTGAATGAAGAAGAAACAAGCTCTGATGCTAAATCTGATGTAGACAGGCCATTAGAAATTAAGAATGAGGAGGAATCTGATCAGGAGCAGGAGAATGAGAGCAGTGAAAAGGGTGAAAGTGAAAAAGAAAAACTGGATGAAACAATTGACAGTGAAGGTAAACCAGGGGAGGAAGAAGAGAATGAGGCTGAAAAAGATAGAGATGAAGTTTCAGTAGAAAAAGATGTAGAGGGAAAAGATAATGAGGAAGAAACTGAAAAAGAATCACAGGCTGAAAGAGACAGTGGGAATGAGGGCGCAGAGGAGACTGAGGTCAGCCAGCAAGATGGCAAAGATCAAGGAGATGAGCAAGGTACGTTGATAGAGGAAGAAGAAATGGCGAGTGAGGAAGAAAAGGAGGGTATGGAGGAGAAGTATGAGAAAGAGGAAGGCACTGAGAAAGAGAAAGAGCAGGTTAAAAGTGAGGGAAGAGATGAGAGTGAGGAAGGAGGGGAAGATAGAGAGGAAAAGGAAGAAAAAGAGGTAGGGGCAGAAGAGGAAGGAGAAGATGAAAGGGAAGATGAAGAAGAAAAAGAAAGGGAGAATGAAAAAGACGAAGAGGGTGAAGAGGAGGAGTTGGGAGAATCATTGGCAGAGAGGGAAGAGGTATCTGGAGAACAGGATGAGGAAGAGGCAAATACAAAAACTAAGGAAGTGGGTGAGGATGGAGTGGAAGAAGGAAAAGATGGGGAGGATGAAGTGGAAGAGGAAAGAGAAGATGAGAAAGAGGAAGGAACAGAGGCAGAAGCAGAAGGGGAGGAGGGAGAGGAAGATGAAAAGGAAGAAGAGGAGGGAGGAAATGAAGAGAAAGGGGAAGGTAAAAAAGAGGGAGAAGGAGTGGAAGAAGATGAGGGAGTAGGGGAGGAAGAAGAGAATGTTGGAGATGAGGGAAAAGAGGGAGTGGAAGAAGAAGAGGAAGATGGGAAAGAAGGAGTAGAAGCAGAGGGAGAGGAGGAAACGGAAGAGGAGGAAACAGGAGAGGAAGAAGAAGAGGTAGAGGAGGGAGAAGAGGGAGGGCAGAAAGAAGGAGAAGGAGAAGGAGAAGGAGAAGGAGAAGGAGAAGGAGAAGGAGAAGGAGAAGGAGAAGGAGAAGGAGAAGGAGAA